CCTTGTGATTGTAAGCCGCCCTGAGTCCCCTCAGGGAAAAGGGCGGCCTATAAATTTTAATAAATTCAAAAAAAAAATAATTCAAAATTCAATTCCATCAAACTCAGGATATTGTATGGCAATGACAAGAAAGAGAGCCATGCTTACTCTTCAAGAAGACCATCCAAGTCCGACTTTTTGCTATCTTTAGGATAGTGTTTTGTGAATATTTGCAAGGCAAGTGCTTCATATTTCTGCTTCTGGTCTGGATTAAGATTTTCTAAAGATTCCAGTTTAACGAAGGCTTTTGAACAGGTACCGAATGCTCTGTTAGCACATGCACAAAGAGCCAATAGGGAATAGATTTCTACTGCAGGAATAATGTCTTCGTAATCCCTCAGGTGAAGAGCTGTCAATGTAAAAAGCAATCGATTCAGAACATATCCATCTATTAAATTAAATAAGCAGTTTTGTTACATTAGTACTCCTATGTTAATGTATTGAAAACATTGGCTGGCACACAACGGTTGCGATCCACAGTATGAAGTGGCTTAATACAAGCAACAGGAAAGATCTGCGTGGAAGAGCACTCTTCTATACTAAATCCCCAAACTGGAAGAAAAATGTTCAACATCTGGAATACAATAGTTCAGGGGTCTCCAACCTTGGCAACTTTAAGACTTGTGGACTTCAACTCCCAGAATTCTGGAAGTTGAAGTCCATAAGTCTTAAAGTTGTCAAGGTTGGAGACCCCTGCAATAGTTGACGACTTAAGTAGTCAATAGCCATAAGTGATTCAGGCTAGGAGATTTAGATCTTTCGCGATTTTAGTAGGGTTTCTTTGGCGGAAAGGATTTCTCCAGATAATACAGAATAGGGACACTGAAAACATCTGCTTAAGGACTGGATACATAACACAAACATTGCCTTATGAACATAAAGTGGGAAAAAAGGCGGCAGTGTACCTGTTTTCATTGCTGTGTCCACATAACCTTCATACAGCTGCCTTTGAGCAAGTATGAAAAAATGGTAAGCCTCAGCTCCCCGCCAAGCATTATCGATCAGGCGGCTGTCTGTGGAAAGAACATCTTCTTCTAGCAAGCCAGCTATGGCTGAAGTAGCCTGGGATAAAAGATACAATAAAAGAAACAAGCGATAGCATGCCTATTATTTACATTAAGTTAGCGTGCATTTCATGCATTGTAACAATGTAATTCATGATATATAACAATGTTAAGTTGTAAGCCAGCGAAGTATAAACAGGAAAAGCTTTTCAAGGGAAGTAAGATGATGTTTATTTCTTAATTACACATTAATCCTAATAACCAAACATAGTTAGCACTAGCACCAGGGGCCACGAACCGGTTCGTCGGTGAACCCGGAAGTAATTAACTTCCGGGAACGCTGGTACCGGTCCTGGCCCCTGTCGCTGCAAAGCGCCCTTTTGCCGGCGCTTCGCAGCTCACTTGCTCGCTCCCTCACCCGTCCACACTAAGCCCAGCCTGCCACTCACTGATTGGCTGGAGTCCAGCCAATCAGTGAGT